GTCAAAAATCTAGGTGACGGTCATGCAGAGACCGAAGATGAAATTGGTACTGCGAACGTTGATATCCATTCAACGGAAGCAACATTGACAGCACGGATGCAGCGGGAATTGCTTGGAATTCTGATGTAGATGATGTGCGCGAAGTTGAAGAATGGAAAATGCAAGCGCACATTGACACCATAACACGCACATCAACCGATTGTGTGCATGTCTCTCAGTGACTTATAAGAGTTGACATGCAATTCACACTACTTTTGTCCGACTCGGATCGACTGTCTTGCAGCAGGTCTATCATGCATTAAATCAGTGGTTTTACCTGGAATGAACACAAAATCTGGTAAGAAAAAAACGATTTGGTTTTCTTCGGTAATGGCGAACTGATGCGCAAAGATTGCTAACACCTTTGAAACAGGCTTTGTATTTGTTTCGGGTGTGGGATGTTTACAACGGGATTTGCAAACTTTTCGACTGCTTGGTGTTCCAGAAACTGGTGGAAACTAAGTCCAAAAGCCGGTGAACACCAATCTCTTACATTGCGTCGCAATTTGACGAATTGTGCAAACGACTGGGCAGTTAACCGATCGAAGTACCTTCTCAGATATTCCGTATTAGTGCAGCTTTATTGAAAGGCGAGAATGCGGGACGATATTAAATGCTTTATCAATGTCTATGAAAACAGCATCCACAGCATGCACCCTGTCTAGAGAGTCCGCCTACCGCATCTCGTGACATCAGTAAATTAGTCAACCTTTACGAAAGCTATGTCGCAAAGAATTGAGCGGATCAAATGTCTCCAAAATTGTTTGCCAGTCTATGTCTAACCACCTTCTCTAACAGTTTGACCAGAACGCTTGTTAAACTCTCAGGTCTGTAATTCGTAGGCATATGCTTGTCGCTTTTTTTAAAGAAGGAACAGGCAACAGCCTGCTTCCAAAGCTTAGGCAGAATACTACTACAAAGCGACATTGCAAACGGACAAGTGGTGGGTCCAGAAAGTTCACTTGCTAGATTGTTCAAAAATGCCAGATATTGTGACTTTCGGTAGCCAGCCGTTTGCAGTGCCTAATAAACGCACCATTGTATGACAGGCAAACATGGTCCCTGGCTATTAGGGTTCCATAAACAAGATCCAGTAACAAAGTCGTCTGAATTTGCGAAGACCAGATCGAAGATGGACGGGGTCTGATGTCCCATGAACGTGGTGGTTTGATCTATAAAGTGGTGCAAAGGTACTTCCAATGCTTAATGAACAAACTCAGCGGCGATAACGGCAGCCATTGCACACGTGAGGTCCAGCGAATTTACTTCGGGTGCATTGAAATCACCCTTAGAGGCGTTGAGTCCTAATCCCTCGGATGGTAGCTTTGCACCATTAGCTTTTCGACAAGATACATATACCAAATGTCTGAACCTGCGGTTCCAGTTTTTACTTCGCTGCGTTACGTTTCATTATTACGGTAAAACCAATCTCTCTCACGACGATCAAAACGCAGCTCAGGTTCCCTATTAGTGGGTGAAGTATCCAACACTTGGTCACAACGCTAGGGGCCATTTTTCTTTCCGCTTTCTGTGACCGGTATGTTATTACTTAGAAGCACTCATCCCAACACGGAGTCTATACGCCGATGCACACGATGAAGACGCGAAACCGCGCACGCTATTCTCAGATTACTATCTCGTCCTTATCCTCCCCGTATTCCTTGGGCATAACCATGAAGGGCAAGTGCTGACATTGCGGACCAAGTTGGATAGAAGTGGTCAGTCTAACCGCTGTCGTATCGGCTTTGCTCGTTGATTTCACTCCGGCACGTCGCTTCCATGACACAATTTACCCGTGCATCATTTAGTCTAGAAATCCTTAATAACGGTGAAAAGTTATATTCACGTGAACAACATAAAACGTCAACGAAAAAGATACTTAACGTGCCTGCCGGCGTTCTGCTTGCAGTGCGGAAATCGCCTGATTCAATTGGCCAGGACCTTTCGCAAAGCTTCCTTGTTGATGGCACGACATTCGTTGACAATTCGGTCCTTCAGTTGTCCCAGTGAAACAGGCTTTGTCTTGTTTACTCTCCGTCTCAACTATCATAGGGAAAAATCTAAGGGGTTTAAAGCTGATGATCAAAGAGGCCATTGAATAGGACCGGAGCGACCAATCCACTGGTGACCGAATATCCCGTTAAGCTCGTTAAGCTACTCAAGCACCGTTTGTGTATAATGGGCAGGTGCGTCATCATGTCGCCACCAAATGGTGCTGCAAACACCATCAGCCTGTATCTGCGGAATTACGCAGGTCTGTAGCATTTCATTGTAGGACGATGCTAGGAAAGGTATGACATTAGCACATTACGAACGTAACTTACGGTCACATTACTGGAAAAGCAAAAGGCTTTAACAATTTTTGACCAGTTAGTCCAGCCTAAACCATTACCTTGGGACTATGTTGCATACGGGAAGCTACGCAGCGTCGTGGATTTGATGTCACCCAAATGTGATGCTTATGTATTCCGTGCAAGTGGAATATTGCCTCATCGGTGAAAATAGTGGAGTGAATATCCACGTGATTTAAGAACCAGCTGCAAAATGCAAGCCGTCCTGCCTCGTCCGGAACAAAATGGAGCTAGAGAGGGTGTTACGAGTGGATACTAGGTTAGTTGCAGGATTGCGGGGACGGACATACCCCGAGCGTCTAATTAGTTTGGGAATGCATTCAATGCACTACCGAAGGCTTAGAGGCGCCTTAATCCTAACCCGTATCTTAACTGGAAAGGTTGGTCCAGATTTATCTTAGCTATTCAGTCCCGCTAGATTGTCTGTTCTACGAGGTCATTCCTTGAAGATGGACAAATCGTGGTCTGATCGCATTAGGGCAGAAATCCGGCTGGCACGCCGAGTTATCGAGCGCTGGAACATGCTTCCGGAAAGTGTTATCAGGGAATTTACGGTTAAGAGGTTTGAGCGGCCACTTGACGCTCTTGGGTGGCAACACGAAACCCATCCCTTTTCCTAACTAATTCGCATCTTCGCATTTCGATTTTCTTTTCTCCACTTTTCTTCATTCCTTAGTATTATTTTTTTATTTTAGTGCACTTTCTTATTCTGTACCTTCGATTTCTCTTCCTATACTTTGCTTACTTCAGGTGACTGCCACAGCAGGGACTGCTAGGACCGGAAACGCGGACATTAACTGGTTGGCCAGGGTGCGAGGTGGGTGTTCCGTTTTAGATCCATCAACAAGTTTGTGCAATTCATTGATTCCACTCAAGAGGGAACACTCACGGGATTCTCCTATCGTTCCAGTCCCACCCGAACTTGAAATTGAACTTCTCCGGATCGCAAGGGTTCAACATCTGCAATTGACATGCACCATACCGACGAAATTTTCTTCCTTTAAGATCCGTTACACTGCGTAAGGGGTGGTGTCACAATTATGAGCAATTATACACATGCTGAGGTCCGCGCTTTCGGTCACTTCGCGGATAACAGCACAAACTGAAATCTCATCCGTTGTGGTGGGAGGCCGCCGTGTAATTTTAGCGTTGCACACACTACCAGTGTTCTCGAACTTCTTCACTAGTTTGAACACATACCGTCCTTTGACAAGCCGCATTCCCGAATTTATGCTATTGTACGTTCTCGTTGTCTCGGCCGCATTAAGCCCGCACTCCCTCGCTGATCCTCAGCGACTTGACGTAACTGAGGTTGCATAACATTCACTGAAGTGACTGTATCCTCGCGTTCCCTCGCTGGAAAAGTAATCCAATAAGAAAGGAAGCCTACCGTGTGCCTAAAGTTATCTCACAAACCTAACCAATGTCTAGAGCGCAATTTTCCTTCTGTCTGTCCAAAACTATGAATGCCATCATTGACCTATGGGCTACCAGTTTGTAGAGCAGAGAGAAATTCCTGCCCGAGGTGCACAGGTTTGCGGTTAAGCAATGCTCCGATTGGATAGCCTGACAACGAATGCAAATTATCTGTCCCTCGTAGAGACGCGTGTCGTGACGAATTGGATTGAAGTCAACGGCAATCCGTCCCGCTTTTCCAATCGTCCTTAGCACTGAGTCTTGTGATACACCGCAGTCCACATCGATTGCATCGGACACAGATTCTCGGCCGCTCACCCAATCGACGTACATGTAGCAAACTGTTTATCCAACTAAGGATTGGGTCGCCAATGCCGTAGTTCTGAAGTTTATGAAGGAGCATTCGATGGTCTAAACGATCAAATGCTTTTGAGAATTCTAGGTAGATGACACGGACTCATACTCCAAAATATGTTTGGTGGTGGGATTTCATAGCCATGAGATATTTTGCGGTTAACTTGTTTTCGGACGCCAATTCTGTCCTCCGTTTCCTACTTCGCTCCCTCAAATAATAACGTTTTCAGTAAAATCAGCGTGATAAATAGCTGTACTTTGGGTTCCTCACTAGAATCCTCACAGCCTATCAGACTCACGCTTCAACGAGGGCCTGGTCCTACAATATTGTTTCGTTAAACATTTTTCAATGAATTTGCCTGAGCTTTCTGTTCTCCGTCAAAGTAAGATCAGAACAACAAATGCATCTTTTTCAACTAACTTTAATGGTGCGGCTGAGACCACATCGAATCCCGTCCAACATATGATAGGTCTTCACTTGACGAAATCGAAACTGACTAGACTGAGGTGTACGTCAGCAAACTAACGAACCCAACACCTATTGCTCATTTCCAGAGTTCCCATGGCATCCGATTTGAACTCAAGCCAGGAGATATATTACAAGTGTGTATTTTCATTGAAGTGGACTACGTTATTTTCTCTCGGCAATCATCAACGTTATTAGTTCAAAAACTTGGTAATCATTTCTACACCAATTGCAGTATGGAGTAACATTCCCTAGAAAATGAGGTCTTTCTACTTTTTTGGCACGTGTTTGCAACGTTTCTTGTGATCGTCAAAACTGTCTGCTGTCTTTACTGCATTTACTGCACGCGACGATTCTCATTTTTTCGTCCCAAGTGACCATGATCAGAGGGAACAGACTCCAACTCCATTGTGTTCTTGCCGCCGAGAGGAAAACATTCATTCCGAACTAACGAGGGAAAGGGAGGAGGATCAACCGCCGTTTACGCCAACACATCAGTTCACTACGCTTCACCATGCTGAGGAAGATAGTGTTCAGGCCGTTATGGCTTTGTTGAGCGCACGTCTCCACGAAGACGTCACTCATTGGTTACATTCGGCAATCTCCGAGGTATTGACTTTGGGTAAGTAAACACAGTGCAGAATTAGCTTCTCTGATTTTTTTCCTATACGTCACGGTAAACGGTGGTGCTTAATTCATTTCCATTCACATTCGACAACTGCCGTAAAGGAAGCAAAAATAAACAACGGGAGTTCGGTTCCTCGATGCTTATGTTTCACCCGATAGCTTATTTGGCTCTGTTCCTATCTATGACACACTGGACAGCATTTGTGCGCATACAAGTTAGATTGCCTTGCGTCCTGCATTTTAAACTGAATTTTAACGTAGGGTGTGGGTTTGCGTAATTCCGAAACCCACTCAGCTGCTTCGGGTGCCACATCCCATAATGTTCTCAAGGTGCTTACATCCAACGGATCAATGGTCAGTGTTAAGACGGTCGCCCGTGCTTCCCTCCTGACGGTTACCGAAATTGTAACAAATCGACTACCATACCTTTAAGCGAGATAAGAACCAGCCAGTCAGTCCAGGGTACCGCTATTTTAGATTGTTAATCATGCAGAATACCCAGCGTTTCGCACCACATCAACTGCACCCCGTCATCCATCGCAATGAGGCTGGACCTTACCGTGGTGCGATGGTTTGTGTGCCTCAGCCATCCAATGAGCTATGCTGTGCAGGGCTTTTTTTGCACCTTCAGAGCCACTCATACCAGATTGGTCAATGGTTAGAGGCCAGACAAACTCAGCCTCCTGGTCCTCTAGGTTTGGTTTCGAATGAGGTGACTCCTTATTCCTTAAAACGGACTCCTTGTAGCCCAACGCCAAACCCGCTACCTTGCGGTCAGGTTTTTGAACCAAAGGCTTTGGTCGAGAACCCTAATCGTTCTCCTGTCTAGGCCTGGGCAACCTGACAGTATCCTGCCTACGCAATACTATGAATTTCTCTTCAAACAGTTTCTTGATGCTCTGGCCACTGCAGAGGATAATCAACGGTGCCCTATCTGCTGCATCGAGCAGGGTGGATAGGGGTTTGGATGCTACTGCTCAAGCCTTCCCATCTTCTTATTCCCCCTCTTACGCTTTTTTCTCTCAGACCGTCCAATTCCAGCTTCACTTTTATCCCCCCCTGTTTTCAACCCCTAATTCTTGGCCCCCCCACCTTGCTTTGCTATGCTTTTACCTTCTAATTTCAACTCACATGTGAACACGGAGCGTCATTCCTGTCCTGTCAACAAGGCCATGTCCAAGCAAGCGGTCAAGCCCAGTTCATCAGCTTCCATTTGGAGCCCTCTATCATCCTTCAGATTGGCATGCCACACACATGCATGCCACGCACATTGCTACAAATCGGTCAACAGGCAGCACTTGCCAGAACATTAGAGACCCTATCGATCGATATCTGCTGCTTATCGGAGACCCGCCTGCAAGACTCGAGCTCTGTGCTCCCGTTGCGATCCCATTCAGGTGACACCGACAGCACTTTCTCATTGCGCCTATTCGGTGACGATGCAGCTTCGAGCACCGGCCAAGCCGGTGTTGGTATCGCCCTGAGTCCCCGGCCTGAAGCTGCTCTGGTTGACTGGATTCCAATCAGTAGCCGGATGTGTGCGATCCGATTGGCTGGCTCGTTCAAAGCTTCGAAGTCGGGGTCCGAAAGACGATGAACATCTTTGGCTGGATACACTTGTTGATGTGGCTAGGAACCGACCTCAGTGGCGTTCATGCTGTGACTTTCTTTGTCCCACCCATCCCTCTTGGCCTCCCCCTCCAACCACGATCTCATTATTTAGCATTTTATAATTTTGCATAGTAAACTATTTTTTTTCTGCTGCATAAAAGCCGGCAGATGGCTTACCGGAACGATGTCCATCCGTTACCGGTGACTCAGCTGGCTTGCACTTATTGCATTTTATTCCCTTTTTCTTTTAGGTATTGCGGCACAGTAACTGAGGTATTTCCCACCTATAGCTAACGTGTATGGCGTGTGAGAATGCACTCCGTCATTCCCTCGTCCAAATGGTATCTTCGCTAGCGTGCACTTGCAATTCCATAGTTATTCCTCCAGTTTTGCTTCCACAACTTCAAAGATCGTATAGCCTCATAAAATTTCGTTTATGGATTACTAGCCTGTGTTGTAATCCGAAAATCACAGGTTCGAATTCGCGCAGGCTCTAGCTACTGTCCGCGTGGCAACGAAGCTCCCGTATGTTGTGTCGGCGTACGGATGATGCTTTACTGTCTTTCAGTTTGGCTTAGGTGCGACTATATGCGTTGTATTGTGATCTTTCTGCTATTCCGGCCTATCACCAGGTTAGACTATACTTAAACTGCGTTTTACTTGTCACAGATTGATCAGAAGGGATCACTTACCAGTAATATCCGGGCCTGTTTAGTCGATTGCGCTGTTTATTGGCAAGTTGCATAACGTCTGAAGACCGGTAGCTCGGGTTGGCACTTAAAGCCTTTCTCGAGCTGAGAAACCAAATTGCTCAGCTCGGAGAACCAATCACTTTGTTTATCAAGTACCATCAATGAAAGGCATTAACGAGGATTGTGTGCATCTATCTGAGCCGCTTCATATACATAATGATATTACGCTCCTACGACCACTAAGGCAATTCGGAACAAACACGCAAGGAAAACTGAACACTCATAACGAAGTCACGGCACAGAAGCACATATACAACCAAATCCGGCACCAGCCAGTAGCCCCATCCCAGGAAGGAAAAGACAAGGCCTCAGACACGTGATCTATTCACCCGCCAACATGAGACAGACCAGAAAGTGATGAAAATTCATGATTGGTTTAGGTCATTCAACGGCTTTGTCAAAGGAGCCAATCACAATGATCGTTTGAAGCGGAAACAGAGAGCGCGCTCCGTTTAAAAATCAAGAAGTAGTGGCTAGCAAAAAGTCTATGATTTTGGCTGATTCTAGTGTAGTTCTTGGGAAATATGGTCATTTTTCAACAAATGATTTAAAACGTGTTAAAGTGTGAGTGCGTGACAAGTCCTATCGGATAACCAGAGTGAGGATCATAAAACCGAAGTAAAAAGATGACAGGAAAATGGGGGAATTTTGGGTTTTAGGTTACTCATAAATCTATTTACGTTAATAACGGTGTAGGCTCCCTTACCACAACCTTACCAAGTGGATTGGTGTACACACGGTCTGGTTCGCGTCACTACGTCTTTCATTTGACACAGACTATATCACGTAATGCAAGTGGGATAGCTTGTCGTTAAACCGTCTTTTGATGTGGGGACGAAAATGACACGAGTGTGAGGGACGCTCCGTATTCGGCACACTGGATGTGAGAAAAACGTTTAGTCTCACTCAAATTTACTGTAGTGCGTAGACAGTTAGAGCTGGTGGCATTTTAGTCCGTACTGTTGTGGCTGAGTTCAAAACAGATCGCGATAATCATGTTTGGGGAGCGCCAGTAGTAAGTACACCTTAATGAGATCTCCTATAAAACACAAACATTCATCGGTGTACAGGATATGAGCTTGCGGTTTGAGTTAATGGGGTAGATGAGGCAACATCCTAACGTATCTGTCGCTCTACACTGTAAAGCTTCAAGCGTTTGCACCAAGGACACCAGGCATGGATTTCCTTTTTCATATGATGCCCAACATAGGCGCTCAGCATTTGAAGAACCATGGAAGCATCGTACTTCCTGAACACCCACCGTAAAAGTCCAAGTTGCTAGCTGGCTCTACTCAACGCTTTTTCTGACCGTGTTGAACAGCCATGGTTATCTTACACAAGCACTCCGAGATCGCTTTCTTAATAAGCACGTGGAAACTGCTGGCGTATGCTCATGGCTTTGCATTTCGCCTCCTTGAACTAAATCCTGTTTTCGGATGACTACATTAAGGCCCTGTCGAAAGCGTTCTGCAGTGCTCACCAACTGTCTTCATGTTATGTCAGCGTGTAACCTAATCTACAACTAGTGGGTAGTTCGACCGGAGTACACTATCAAAATCGTCGATCTAGACTACGCATGAAGATGATAAAATTACCGATACTTGTGTTACAACACACTGGACCACAAGTACGTCGGAATCGGAGCTGCGGACTCTCACCTACAACTGATGTGGAATGTGGAGGTTGTTTATCCAACCCATACCTCTGACCGAATCCGCACCATAAACGATAAATAGAGATAAAATTTCAACCTAGCAAGCTTTCGCACAGTACACGCATAGCGTGTTGGTTGCTGTATTTCCAGCCACTTCATGTGGTTTCATAATGATAGTTTAAGATACTCACGAGGTCAGTGAAAGGTCAGCGCCTATATGACATTCCTTGCGTCTGTTCTCTCTATTTCCACATTGCTCCTAACTGAATGAGCTTACTTAATGCTCCTGAACTTGGTGGCAGATTTCGAGTCCAAACAGTTCTGACGGCTTACCTAAATCTCAGGGGGCTGAGTGCATTTAGCTAACGGGGAACGGCACCTCTAAAAGACAATTGTCTCTTTGTTTTCTGTCAGTACCATGCCAAAAACTGTCTGGCAATGAGTAATCCTCCCACTGGAAGTGCAAGTGTGAAGAGTGCTTAGAATTGCGGCCGCATCTCATTTGAGCTACTTACAGTCGAAAAATACTGCTGGATGCAAGATGGAATAGAGGAGAAACGTTGAAACACCTCCTATTCGGATACAGTCCTTGTGAGCTAAGTAGCCGAGGTCTACTTTAAAGTGATCAAAGTCCCAATGGAGGTTGCGTGTCGCAATCCCATCACACATCTGGCAGTCCAAATTCAGTTTTGAATTCCTTACTGTTGTGAGAAGTGTTGCTCATGGATCTTAATAACAAAGTGATCAAGGCGTCAGCCGTTATCTCCCGAGTTCCAATCAAGCTTAGGCTATTTCCATTTGGGTAAGTGGAAAATTCCCATTTCATTATCAAGAACGAAAGGCCGACGTTAAACAATTGTTTTCGATGGTTCATCTTCAGACCTGTACAATCATATGGGTGAAATAGCAATGGGCAAGTACAATTGGATTAACGATCAGTTCAAATGAGATTGATCACGTGTCGACCAAAGGCATTTG